GATAGAAAGAGTAGGAAAGTGTTGGAGAATGGAAAGCCAAAAATGGAAAGACAGCACAAGTCTGCCATTTAGTCCATAAATGTTTGGGCGCTTTGCTTGTGTTCAGTACTTACAGTACTCTCAATACAAACTTTACAGAGACTACACCTTTGCAATACAGTTGAAAATATATAGTGTACTCGAAAGTGGTATTCAATGCTGGGTTAGACCATATTGACGGTGAATATCTATTATTGTATTGTTTGATATCATTGAATAAAATAAAGAGAGAAAAACATTATTTTTGTCAAAAAAAAGCAATTTATAAATTAGAGTTCTTTTGCAATTCACAACACAATTCACAACACAATTCACAAAACTCTATTCAAAATATATTTATGGTTTTGTAACTTAAAACCATTGCATTTAATAAAAACTAAGCATTGGTTTACATACTGTATAGCATTTTACTAAATATACTAAACTTAAACTATGTCATTTTTGAAAACATTTTGCCCATTCAATGGCTTTAATTTGTTTTGAATTTAGTGGTACAATGACCCTGATATAAAAGTAATTTTATAATTATTAATATCAATAGTAACGTAAAAAGTAATACATTTAAACAAACAAAAATGAATTGTCAATTAAAAATTTGAAAATAATTAATAATTATTGATTTGATGAAACAATTTTAAAGCAGTTGTCCATCACATGTATCTGAAGACATTGTATGCCGTCATGGAGTCTACATTTGCATCCATTCGTCAAAAGCCATACTTTCAACTTTGCCACCACTTGTGAACATCCGGTGCACCGAATGATTTGCTGTTTGTCCTCCAACTGGTTGCGCATCCATCGCATCGGTTCAACAAATATGCGATCACACGACCAGTTCCTCACTTCATCCAATGTTTCACATTGTTTCTCATCGTTGACGAGTACATGAAGTTCATGAAACAACAAAAAGTTGCATTTTCTGCAAATATATCGTTTGCCATAATTTAGATCTTTAGTTATATTTTCGGCCACCGATTGCCTATCAAAGTACGCCTTGAAGTGATCTTTATTAGCGTATATTTCGGCAATAAATTGTCGAAACTGTTGATTATTAGCATTTAATGTATAACCCATTGACTCAAATAACATCAATTGTTGACCGAAACCATTGATCGGACAAATTAGACGTCTTCGAGAGGCAACCAAATTTTGCGCCCCTTTTGTTGATATTTCATATTTGGCCATAAGATATGCCACAATTATGGTTGTGCTCAGGGATGTGCCGTCAATACAGTGAATTAAAATATTGGCACCAGATTTGATAGTTTCGTTAATTATATGACAAGCGGTTGGGAAATACGACAACAATTCAAATGCAGACTCTTTTGTAACACGAATGGTATGGTATGCGATGCCATCGACTCTCAGTTCAGGTGCTATTTGGTGGTCAATGATAGACAATACAGTTTTTATATTGTTTTCATTTAGCATACGTGTCATCTGTATTGCCGCATAAGTGCCGATATATAAATGTTCCTCAATTTGACATAATTGCAAACCAAACACCTTATTATTGATACCAATCACTATATCTTCTAAACTCATATTTTAGATTCAGATCATTAAATAATTATATTAAATATATAGATAATTAATAATTTTAATTTATCATAAACTTAATAATTGAATTTACATACTGTAATATATAAAATGACATTACTCATTTATTTTTAAAAAAAAATTAATGATTAATAATTGAGTGACTCATATAATAAGCTATATAATGTATACACTATGTTAGATGAGAAATAAAAAATTATAAGCAAATTGTTTTTATTTAAAAATTTAATTTTATTTGTTTATATTTTAAGTAAGAAGATATCATATAAAAAAAATAATTAAAATAATATTTTTATAATTATTAGAATTTCTAATTAATTTTAGAAATAACTTATTACTACAGAAAAAAACATTTMCGCTACAATTATTATAGACACCATAAAAATGTGTTTTTTGTAATATGTTTTTTTATTAATGATACGTAATTTTATCATAGAAACTAATGTCATATTTGATATTTAATGAATATCATTTTTATCATTGCATGTTTTAAATTGCTAAATATATAGTTTATATAACATATTTTGTTTATCTTGCCATTTATAAAAATAATTTGAGCGTAGGTTTAAATTGAATTATATATATATATAATATTAAGGGTCAGGGAAGTGGCAGTCCATGAAAGTGATGGCAAAAAACTATTTTAAATCAAAACTGGATGATAAAAGAGATGTGGTATTCATATTTGCACCGCAGGTGTCCAGTACTGAGAGGTGTGAGAGAGATGACTATTTTGCGAGTTTTTTTGTCGGGTCCGCTGTTAGCACAGGAGGTGGGGATAGGCATTAGGATCAAGAAATACTGCAAACATACTATACATACCTATATAACCACTCATTTGGTTTGCGAAGTGAATAAAACATTTTAGATATTGAGAGACAGAAAAAATATTAAAATATAAAATATGTGGTGCTTTTAAAGTTTTCATAAACTATATCTACAATCATAAGAATAAAACGCTCAGTTAGCACAATAGGTCATTCCCTTTTGAAATTCACAGAATGGGTCCGAAAAATTGTTTCTTTAAAAGTGCTATTCTTTAAGATAAACCACAAAACAAATTGGCACTATATATGTGCCACTGATAGACATCAATTTGCACCATAACTGCTACACCATCCTGTGCTTATAGCACTTGAACCCATCACATATCTACTGTATATGACAGTAGGTTTCAATATTTTATGTCAAATATACTATAAGGTATCTACAATATTATATTATATTGTTTATTATAATGTTTATAACTGAGTTAATTGTCTTTTTTGTTTCCAATGAATTGATGTCTAAACTGTAAAAGTCATTGAATGTGTGTCCAAATGCCTGCTGTGAAACATGCAATTGGGAACACACTTTCAATTTTATTATTATAAGTATTATTATTTTTTTAATGCAATTTATATCATTTATTATCACATATGCATTGCAATTATGATCTCCATTATAATCCCTTTTGGTTTTAATACTACTGACACTTACCGAGAATGATGTTTTGTCTCTCTATTATATGTTATTACTTGATTACTGACACTGGGATACAGTCAGGTGCCACTCATATAGAGGATTGACCCACAAAAATGGTAATGCAATTACTAAACTCAATTGGTGGCAATTGATAGCTATTTATGATAGTAAAGGAGAGACACAAACTTAAGTATTGTAGTGTCGTACACATAGGGCGTCCATATAAACAGGAGAGATGGGATCCGCAAATATTTTATATACTCATATAAAGAATTGTAGATTTATATGAATTTTAGAGGAGGACGTCCAAAATTTATACAAAAATATAGACGTCGTATAAGAATAACACCCAAACAGATTTTAATGATCGACACTTTTTATTCAAATATTAAGAATTTATTTATATTAATATATAAAATATTTTAAATATTTGCAAACAATAATACAGCAAATTATATGAAGTAATTTTTAAATATAATTTTCAGTATTTGTTAAAAAAAATTCTTTAAACTAGTTTTAAATGTAATGACTGCCCAAAAAATCTCTTTTCGTCTGAATTTTTTGTGTTATCAATCATACTATTAACACTTTTTTTTATATTTTTTAAACGTAAAATTGTATACTAAATATAAATAAATGAATGTATTTCATTATTTTATTAAATTAAAAATTTAAAAAAATCTAAATTATAGTTATTTTGTTTTCAATGTTACTTCAATAATATAATCTAATCATAAAAATTTTAAGCATTACAAAACATATAAATTTAAATAAATATTTAAAATGTTATAAATTATTACAAATTCCGTACATTATTATTTGTTCAACTTATATAATTTATATAAATAATAAATATTGTATTATTGAAGATTATAAACAAATTAATGTTTCAAAAATATAACATACAATATATCACTTATTCCATTAAAAATTGATAAAATATAATAAAGTTTTTAACATTTAAACTAACATTTTTTAAATATTCAAAAGTTTTAACAAAAAATAGTATGTACTTTTATATTTATAAGGTAATATAAGTAAAGGTATATTTTTAATACTTTACAATTTTTATAATAAAAATAGACATAATGTTTATGTAATGTTACTAATGTTATATTTGTTATCTTTGATATATTAACCTTATGTTTAAAAATGAAAATAATTTTTTTTATTTATACATCAATTTATATTTATATTGTAAATTTAATGCTATGAGTAATATAAAACAATTGAAAAAATTATTTAAAAATAAAAAAATTTAAAAAAGATACTTTTAAATTTAATAAATTTATATTAAATTTTTTAAATTAAAATAAAGTGTTGCTATTAAAAAATATGCTAATAATTATTATTTTTAATACTGAAAATAATTTATTTAATGACTGAAATTTTACAAAAAATAATTATTATTAATTGTCAATTAATTTTTATAAAACATTTTTGTAGTTTTTTGCTGTTAAGATATTTGATTATCCATTGGGATGACAGATATTGTGTGTGTTTTTAAACATTGAATGTATATCTAGAGTAATGAGTATGAAATGCATAAGACATGTAAGTTGTTTGACTTGAACTCACATAGAGATGCCATCAGAGGATATCAGTGGATATTATGTGTGAATTTCTTCAAAGTTTTTCTACTAAGAAGTCGACACTAAAAACATGAGAGAGTTGTGCTATACTTCACATATAAATAAAGACAAATGAGTGCATAAAAAGTGTTTCACAACACATACAGTATATAACAACACAATCAAGTGTTAAGACAAAGGAAAACACTTTTAATGTATAAAAAAGAGTTGTGAAGAAAGTGAGTGTCGAGTGGAAAGACATTCACAGGCAGACCATCACTTAGATTAAGACAATAGGGTATTGAAATGGTATTTACTTTTTATATATCAAATATACTATATATTTAGTTTAGAAAAAGTTAGATTTAAAAAAACAAATCTATAAAAACATTAGAGATTTTTTTTGGAGACACTTGAAAGTCAATCATTGAAAGTAAAAAAGCAAAAACTGATGTCTTATAAATAACTATTTTATTTCACTTGTATTTGTCATTTAGAAAAAATAGTGACACTTTGAACATAATTTTTCATTAGTGGACTTATTAATAAATTAATTAACTTTTTTTGAAAAAAAAACAAAAATCTATTTTAATTAAATTATTTAATTTAGCACAAAATAAGTTGAGTCTATTAGTATAATTTATTATACTGTACAGTGTATACATTGAATAACATAAATAAATGATATGTTGTTAGTTAATGCAAAATCATTATTATTACAAATAATAGAAATATTTTTAAAAAATAAAAATTGTACTCAACATTGATTTAATACTTTATTTCATACAAAATATACAGCATTTAATGTTATTCAAAAAAATTGATTTACTCTTCGCTCACTAATGACTGGAAAATTTTCTAAAGTATAAACTAAAAAATTGGTTTTATTTTTTAAAACAGTAATTAAGTGTAAAATTGCTTATTTGAATATTTATGAGACTATTTTTTGTTAGTTTTTTTTTGCCAATGGATTTAGCGCTTAGTTTGTGTGTGATCTCAATGAATGAATGAATGTATGGCTCGACTATAAGGTCAATGATATGCAATGCACGTCAACCAACGTATAGATAATATTAATATTTATTGGTTTTTTGTGTCCAAAAACTATTGTTGAATAACCATATTTTTATTCAGTTATTGTCTGCTATTTAAATAATAAAATAAATGAACTCAATATTTCATTATTTTTTTATTATATATAAAAATATTAATAATTTGTTCGTTTTATATATATATATATATATATATAATAAATTATCTATAATAAATTGTGTTAAAAGTAAAAGTATAACATAATAATTATAAATTGTTAGAAATCAAATGAAATATTTTTTTCAATTTTTTAACAATTGCAATTGAACACAATTTTTTGTTTGTTTTTTGATTGATATATTTATTATATAAGTATATGATATCATAAAAAATTATTTTTCTTTTAAAATGTTATATATTTTATATAAAATATCAATAGAGTATTATATAATTTATAGATGTATGTGATTTGAAGGCATAAAAAACACTAAAATTGAAAACAATTAAATGACAGTCAAACCAATCATCAATCACTGAATGTTCAACTATTTTCTGATATGAAAGTTATAGGAAATTATTGACCAAAAGAAACCATAAAAAACTGATTGCTTTATTGCAAAACAAAACTAATGAAATTTGTTTTGTTATAGTAATACTTTAAACAAACAAAAAATATATATTATTTAACGCATTATTTCTTATTTGATTTGGTTATTATTATTATTAATCACCAAAGTTTCCACAAAAAAACAAATAAAATTTTTATTATATATAGTTTTCAAATTAATAATATTTTCAATATATAAATTATATATAAAAGTATAATTCAAGTAAATATATATATATAAAATGCTGCTAAAAATATTATTTATATAACAATAAAACTTTAAAAATGCATTTATCTTAATTGAGGCTATT